CTCTTCTGTATGAATTCGCTGGTGTCTAATTAGTGCTGAAGAGAAACGAAATGACTTCTCACATTCTGTACACTCATAGGGTTTCTCTCCAGTGTGAATTCTCTGATGTTCTATTAGGGATGAACGATTCCTAAAGGATTTCCCACATTCACTGCATTTGTATGGTTTCTCCCCAGTGTGGGTTCTTTGATGCTGTGTAAGGTGTGAAATTCTCGTGAAGGCTTTCCCACATTCATTACATTTATAGGGTTTCTCTCCAGTGTGTGTTTTCCAATGTGAAATAAGATAGGAGCCCTGGCTGAAGGCTTTCCCACACTCATTACATTCGTAGGGCTTTTCCCCAGTGTGAATTCTCTGGTGCAGTGTAAGGTGTATGCTCTGGCTAAAGGCCTTCCCACATTCTTGACATGCATAAGGCTTCTCCCCAGTATGAACCCTCTGGTGAAGAATGAAGGCTGAGCAGTAGCTGAAGGCTTTCCCACATTCATTACATTTCCATGGCTTGTTCTCTTCACAAATTTTCTCTGGTTTGATTGGTTTTGAATGCTGTTTTGAACTCTTCCCGTGTGGATCAAGCTTTGGGGGCCTCAGCTCCATAGGCCCTCTGACTCTAGGAACCAAGACTGTCTTTGTACTTATGGAGTTCTTGCTGTCATTGTGTTTGCGGCCACTGTTCTCAGCTGTGGCTTCAGGGGGGCTTAAATGGGTCTCTTGTTTTCCTCTCTTTTCCGTCTTGGTTTCTCCTACTTTGGAATCTAAGGAAATGTCCCTTGGGAGTCTTTCCATTATTTCCATCTGAGAAGATCTTTCTTCAGCAACGCCCTGCTTTCCAGCTGATTTGCTGGTTGCCCAGTCTGAAAGAAACAAAAAAACCTATCTCTATAAATGTCCAACTGAACGTCATCTCCTTGCAGTAGAGACTGATCCTTCTCCCTCAGTATCCCCAAGGTCCACCCCAGCTGTGGGTGTTCCTCAAGACCCCATGGGTTGAACCACAATCAATCCTATGCAGAGGACTCCCAGGTCTATCTACCTGGCCTCAGTCTCTTCCCTGACCTTCCATCCCACATCACCAAGCACTCACTGGACATTCCACAATGGATGTCCTGGAGACATCCCCCCTTGCCCCTTTCAAACTTCTCTATTTCTGTCAAGGGCTCCCTCACCCTTCCAGCTTCCCAGGCTCATGACCCCAGCAGCTCCACAGGCTCCCTGACATGCACACCTCTCCTGTGGCTCCTTCCTCTCTACACCTCCTTAGAACCCGAGGTGCCTCTCTGCAAGTCTCTTCTCAGGTCAGTTATACCTTTGTGTTGCTACCAAAGGGATTTTCCTAAATACAGATTTGGCCATGGCTATAAGCCATGACTTAATCAGTCCTTTTCAGCCGCACCAACTACCACTCCCTGGGAGTTTCAGCAACCCAGTCAAAATGGCCCACTCCCTGTTCCTTCCCTAAGACAGTTCAAGTCCAGTCTGCAGGCCTTTGCCCTGCACTCTGTCCCACCCCCAGCTCCCAGCTCTCCTGAGACCCAGCTCCAGGCCCACCTTCTGCATGAAGTTTCTCCTGAGCCTGCAGGGCCTGCCCTCACCACCCCCTGGCCACCTCCTATGGATCCTTTTCCTATGTAATCATTCACCCCTAGTGCCCCCCTCATGAGAGGGGGGCACTTGGAGCTCCTGCTCCAAGTGCACAGGAATTGCTCCATTCTTGGTACTTGTATTATCTCCTGGTGCCCAACAGCCATCTGGCACAGTCAGGGCTTCCACTGATGCCTTCTGCTGAGAGCCAGCTCCAAGGAGCCTGTGGTCAGATGCTCTGGGGTCTGGCCACAGGAGGGCAAAGGGGTAGGTGGCTGGCCAGATGGCAGGAGAGGGCGGAGGCCAACTGCCCCAGGGCTCCATCTTCCTCTCATCATCCACCTGGCCCAGGCTGCCTGGACTCTCTGAAGGAAAGAGGCTGCCCTACATCACTCCAGGTTCCACCATGTCACCCCCTATTCAATCCACTCCAGTGGCTCCCTATGGCGACTGTCCCTGAGAGGCCCCTGGGCCTTCCTCCTGAGCCAAGGCCTTTTCTGGTGCTCCTCCTCTCCAGTCTTATTCCACAGCTGTGTGCATTTGGTGTGTCTCCATCCCTAGGCTGCTCACTAAATAAATACCTTTTGACTGACCGACTCTCAACTTGTAGGAAACTGCTCCATCTGTTTATGTGTTTTAGGTTCCCTTTAAGGGACTTTAAAAATGCTGCTTCTGCAACACTCAAAGTGCCCTACCTCCAATGTCCCTTGGAAGGGGACTCAGCCTCTCTGGGACTTCCAGCTTTTGACACAAGGACTTTTAGAAGCTAAGAAGCATTGATTAAGCCCCTACTGTGTGCCAGGCACTGTGCTAAGCCCTTTACCGACATCTTATCTGGAAGGAGCTGGATGGCAGAGGCAGCCAGCCAGGGCAGGAGAAAGGGTCCAGCCTTAGCGGGCACAGGATGGAGGTATAAGAAGCCTGGAGAGGTAGGAGGGGAACAGGGAGCCCCTGGAGCTTACTATGTGTGCACATGGTGGGGTGGCTGTGGCCAAAGTGGGGCCTGTGCCTGAGCGCAGGGCCAGCCTGGAGGGGGTGTGACAACCTGGCCAGTAGCCTCAGCACTGTTACCTGGGCTGGGGGGGGGGGGGGGGGGGGGGGGGGGGGGGGGGCCGCCCCGAGGGGTGAACACACAGGTAGGAGGGGGTCCAGGGCAGACCCCGGGCTTCCAAGCCGCGATGGAGAAGCCTCTCCGCTGCCCCACAGGGTGGAGGGCGGTGCCCATCCCAGCCCAGGGCCAGGCTCCCCCACCTTGGCTCCCGGGGGCAGCTCTGGCCCGAGGGTCACTGGGAGACCAGAGCCCCCATCATCCCCTCCAGGCACCGCCCACGGCTCGGGCACCCCAGCTCATTCGCCAAAGGCCTTTATTATGCGCCTACTGTATGCTGGGGGGAGGGGGCCCTGGAGCGCCCTCTGCGCAGCAGTCCAGACCCTGGCCAGGGGCGGCTGGGAGGGGAGGGGGGCTCACTCCGCAGCCTGCCTCAGTTTCCTCCCCTGTACCGTGGAGATGATGAGGCCAAACCAAAGAGCCTGCTTAGCACCCCGCCCCACCCTTCCACTCCCGGGAGCCGACACCTGGCCCCTGGGGAGGCAGCTTCTCTAGGATCTCTAAGCGCGCTCCACGTCAAAAGGCAAAGCCCCGCGGTAAGGGCTGGAGGCCCCGCCCCCACGCATGCCCCGCCCCGCCCCGCTGTTACCATGGAAACCGCGAACCTCATTGGCGCGGCCCGCCCGGTAGCCAAAGAGACGCAGGGCCCTCCTCCTCCTCCTCCTCCCGCCTTCACTCCGGGCCCTGGAGGACCCCTGACCCCTCCCCCACCCCGCCTCAGTCCCCCGTCCGAGCGCGGCCCGGGGTCCGGACTCAACGCCCCCTTCTCCCCCCACCCCTCCCACCGACGCGAGCGCGCGGAGGCGGGCAAAGTAGGACCCGCAAGACGAGGACGCGCCTGCGCACAAGAGAGGCGGCGGACAACCCGTCTGGGTAGTTGCCGCAAGCCCCGTTGGCTGCGCCTGCGCCCAGGCGGCCTTTGGGGCAAGTCTTCAACTCACCTGCGGATGCGCGTGCGCACTCGCGAGTCCGAGGCGGCAGCCGCTCGTCGGGACTCAGTTTCCCAGCGGCCCTAGCGGCAGGGGCTCGGCTCCCGCGGACTCTGAAGGAGTCGAGGCTGGGTCAGGGCCGAGGCCTGAGAAGCGATTCCAGTCCGCCCAAGACCCACCTGCCGCCCCTCTCGGACTGGGAGCACGGACCGCAGCGCCCTAGACTCGACTCGGATCCCGACCCCACTTTGGGCAAGGCCCTCCCTACAGCGACCTGGGCCTCTGCGGCCGCAGTGGACCTAACGCCATCTACGGAGGCGCTGTGGGAATTGTATACGGTTGCTTTCGATACGCAGGCGTCATTCCGGTGCATTGTGGGACGCGTAGTCTTAGGCCCTCCGCAGATGGACCTTGCGCAGGCGCAGTCTGGCGCGAGGTCCGAGTGCGTATCTCGCTTTGTCTGGCTCCGCGCACGCGGGGGGGTGAGTCTGGCTCCACAGCGGCCCCTGCTGGGCGGGGGAGGAGGGTGAGTCATGGGCTTAAGAGCTGCGCAATGCTTATAGATCCTCCAGGCTTTGAGTCCTGAATTGTAGCCCAGGAGGTGCTTAGAGATCCTGAGGCCATGATGTCTTCGGCTCTGGAGCTGCAAAGTGCTTAGAGATCCTCCAAGTGTAATTAATAACGATGATAATAGCAGCGAATCATCTAGCGCTTGACAAATATCGTGTCGTTTCATTTTACCCAGCAGCCCAAAACGCAGGGCTGTTGTGATCCCCATTGTACAGATGAGGAAACTGAGGCAGGCAGTGGTAATGTGACTTACCCAGGTTTCACGCAGATAGGAAGTGTCTGGGCTGAATTTGACCTCGGGTCAAAATGCAGAAGATATCTTCTGCACCACCAGGTGCTCCTTGGGCTCAAGCTTAGAGATGATAGACTAGAAGTGAGAGGTTTTTACAGATCCTGGAGTCATCTTGGCATGTCCACCTGTAGCGCTAGAAGGTGCTGAGAGATGTTTCCTGGAGGAGAGACCACGAGGTTGGGCTCTCGGGGGCAAAGAGGGCATTCCAGCCTATGGAACCCCCTGAGCAGAGGTGGTACGTGGGGGAGTGATGAGATCAGGCTGGAAAGACCTGCAGTGCCAAGTGAAGGAGTTTGCCCGTCCTTGGGAAGTACTGGGGAGGCACTCAGGATGGGGGAGTGCCTGGGCATCCTGTGTGTTTGTGGCCAGCTGCAGAGCCAGTGAAGCGGCAGAGGGAAGGCCCGAGCTCGAGGTGCTGGAGGCTGCAGAGGGTTCGGGTGTGGGCTCGTCCTTCCTCTGCAGCTTCTGCCTCACCCTCTCTCCATGCCAGAGATCTTTGGGGATGCTATTTTCCCTTCTTCTGACTCTATCTTCATCAACTCCATTCGTGCAGAAGTGTTTATCTGTCAGCGCTTGTTTGCCTAAGAACCCTCCTGATCACACTCTCTTCATTTTCCATGGTGTGAACTCAGTGTTGAGGTCACCCGTTGTGGTGGGAAATGCTTCTCCAATTAACTTCTGCCTAGTTTTCCCAGCAGTTATTGTCAGAAAGGGAACCCCTTCCTCAGAGATGCCTCAAGTGGGGAGGGGGGGCAGGGGGAGGAGAAGAGACAAGGAGGAAGAGGAGGGATGGCTAGGGGAGGCATCTCCCCCTCCCCCTGGGGGATGGGGGTGGGGCAGGGGGAGGAAGAGGAGGGAAGCTGGGCTCTGATAGCTAGGGGAGGGGGGTAGGGCAGGGCAGACTGGCACTCTCTCTCTGCTCTTCCAGCTCAGCCCCTGGCTCAGAAGGGAGCTTAGCACCGGAGGGATGGCCTCGGGGTGCCAGGTGAGTCTGGGTTTCCTCCTGGCTTCCAGATTGCCCCGGCTCATTCTCAGGGGGCAGCTGTGTGGGCCTCTGTACCCAGAGCTTACCTGTTTTGCCCCTACTTCACTCCCCAGGCTCCTCCAGTCATCTGAGGCCCCCCTTTCTCCCTTCTGCCCCTACCTCTCATCTCCCCCCTACTGCCTGAGCCACCATGTTTGGTCTGGGCAGTGTCTGCAGTCAGCACCCAGAGGGAGCTCAGCCTCCCCATTGAGGTGGGGTGGGGTTGTGCTGTAGAGCTGGGTCACCAACCTTGGTAGGGTAGCCTTGGGAAAGACGAGACAGCCCTGCCAGGCAGGGCGGCTGGAGCCAGGCTCTCTGCTGGGACCGTGGGCCCCCCCCTGGCCCGGTGGCTCCCAGAGGGGCCTCCATATGGGGGGGGTTGGGCTGTAGAGCAACGTCACTGAACCCCCCCCCCCCAGGAGCTGGTTCATCCTGCTGTTTGAGGTTAGGGTCAGGGATTTCTTCACAGCCACTGCCCTCCCATTTTACAGTGGAGGAAACTGAGCTAGGAGGTGACCCCAGAGTCAGGCTGCCTGGGCAGCTCCCCCGTGGACACTCCTCCTTGGAGCTGGGCTCCTCTTGCCTCTCCAGACCTGAGTGACTGTGCAGTCCAGCCCTCTGTCACCCCTCCCTCTGTGGCACCCCCAGTGGTTAGTGCCACCCCTCCCACCTCTTACTTTGCATCTTTTGTATTTGCTTTTCTGTGGCCCTCTTCGCACCCCCCACCCCCACCCCCAGTAGAAGATAAGCTTCCTGAAGGCAGGATTTGTTTGGATTTTGTCTCTGTGCCCTCTGCCAAATACCTTGTTCACTTGACCTCCGAGTGTGAAGAGGGGCCTGTGTCGCTGTCACCTCGTACACTCCCACAGCAGGGAAACTGAGGCCCAGGGAAGGACTGGATGCAGGCTGTTTGGGAGGAGGAAGACGTTGGAGAGGACTCCCTCTGGCCCCGAAGGATGGGGAGGGGGCAGGACTTCAGTATCAGTGAGCTAGGCAGCCACCCCCTCCCTCAATGGGAGATGTACCAAGGAGGCTTCAGTGTTTGCAAAGCACTAGGCATTTATTGTCCCACTGGACCCACAACAACCCTGGCAGGTGGACACTGGTATGATCTCCACTTTACAGTTGAGGAAACTGAGGCAGGCAGAAGTGAAGTGACTTGCCCAGCATCATCCGTGTCTCCCTGACTGCAGGCCCAGTGCTCCATCAGTGTCAGAGTGGCACCGAACCTAGGGCCTCCGACTTTGCACCCAAGGCTTGTCAATCCAGACTCTCAGTCCTCGGAAACATTTGTCAAAGGAGGTCCCAGGGGTGGGCCTCAGGGCGGGAGGCCCCCAGCTCAGTCCATCTCCTGCTTCCCCCATGGGCCCCAGAGAGGGAGCGAGCCCAGATCCCGGGCTTATGGAGCCTGAGGGAAGGCAGCAGTGAAGCCTGGACCCTCCGTGCCCAAGGCCATGGCTCTCCTCTTATTCCACTTCACTGAAAGTGGGTTTGCTGGTTCTGGGGCTGCCGATGGCCCTGGTCCCACCCCGAGGTCATGGCCAAAGCTGCTTGGGGGTTCGCTTCCAAGGGCCCTTCCCGGCTCCCTACCCTGCCCACCAGGGCCCCCCAGCCAGCAGGTGCGTGTTCTGTGTTTCAGGAGCCCGTGACCTTCCGGGACGTGGCTGTGGACTTCACCCGGGAGGAGTGGGGCCGGCTGGGCCTCTCTCAGAGGCAGCTGTACCGGGACGTGATGCTGGAGACCTACCGGAACCTGATCTCCCTGGGTAAGGCGGCCCCCACTCCCGCCGTGAATCATCCTGATAGCACCAGTCATTGCAGAGACCTCCGAAGGGTATTGGGAGATGGAGCTCAGGGGCCAGGGAGCCTGAGCTTTGGGGTAGAAGACATGGCTGCCCCCCCATTGTCCCTGTAGACTGGGAGGGCTGAGCCAGCCGTGGAGTGTTCCCACCAGGGACTGTGCAGGCCCCAGGAAGAAGGGCTTCCTGACGGTGGGGGGCCTCTGGGGCAGGCAGTGGCCGGTGCCCCCTACCCTGGGCCAGGCTTGAGCTCAGCGAGGATTCAGCCTCCCGGCACAAGCGGCCATGGCCTGTTTTTCTCTCCCCAAGCAGGGATTGCAGTTCCTGACCATGACACTCTCTGCCATTTGGAACAAGTGGACATGCTGAGGGTTGTGGAGGGAGCTGGTGAGTGAGGGTCACCAGAATAGGGTCCTTGGGCGGAGAAGGCGGGCCAGGGATGTCTGAGGTCCCTCCCCTCCAGCTCAGGCTGAGGATCCATCACCCCAAAGCTTTGGAGAGGCAGCCGGGGGAGCCTGGAGCCATGGCCACTCCTGCCAAACCTCAGTTTCTTCCTAAGTAACCCTGTGAGGTGGGGGGAGAGCACTCTGGAGCATGGCGTGGCCTTGCTGGGGTGGTTCCCTGTTGACTGTGCTGCCCTCCTGCCCAGCCATTGTGGCCCTCCTCTCCCTGGGACCCCAAGACAGCCCCCATCAGTCTGGTGCAGTCAGGCCAGACTCGGGCTCCCCCCCGGCCCCTTGGGGAACTGGGGCCAGGCCAGGGGAGTATCTTGTGGTCCCTCCTCGGGCTCTGGGTGCCGAAGCTCCCTCCCCTCCAGGTGTCCCTCCTCTTCCTCCTCCCCCCCTCCCCCACCCTGGTGCCCCCTGTTCTCTGCAGTCACACTGCTCAGGGCTCATGCCCTCCCTTTAGGCTCATAAGCTCCAGGCTTGACCTCTGATCTCTAGCCTCCATCCCCTCCCCCACTCCTGCTCCTGGCCAGCTCTCTCATTGTGCACCAGGTCCCTTCCAAGCTGCCCAATTCTTCCAGGCCCATTTCGGGCTCCCCAAGCCTGAGATGCCAGAGCCACCCTTCTCCTGCACCCTGCGCCCCGTGTCCCAACATCTGTTGGTTCATCCTCAGTGGGGTCTCCTGGAAACAGCCCACTTCTCTCCAGTCCTCGAAGGCCTTCCTAACTGCAGGCCTGGTGTTTGCTGTAGCCTTTTAGAGCTAGACTCACCTCCCGCTCACCCAGGGTCCGCTGCCAGGTGCACCATCCCGAAGCTGGGTTTTCCTCGCAAGGAGCTCCCCTGCTCAGAAACTCTGCAGTTCGGCAAACATGGCCCTATGCTTGCTGCTGGGGACATGAAGGTGAAAAGTGGAGCCTCGCCTGTGTGAGCGTGGGCTAAAATACTGTCTGAAATAAACATTGCACCTGGTAGTGTGTCAGAGGGGTGATGGGAGAGCTTAGATCTTCAGCTGGGAGAATCGGGGAGGCATCCTGGAAGAAGTGGCCCCGAGGAGAGTTCTGGAGTGTGGGGCTGCCCCCTTGCCCCCCCCCCCCCCCTCTGGGCCGCCCTTCCTCCCCCCCCCGCCCCCCCGCCCCCCCTCCCCCCCACCTGGGCGGCCCCCCCCCCAACTACCTCCCCCCAGCTGCCCTCCCTCTCACCTCCTGTCTGGGCTGCCCTCCCTTCCACCCCGCCCAATCCCACTGCTGGCTCTACCTGCCATACCTGATCCCAACCTGCTCCCTCCCTGCCCTTCTCTTTCCACAGTCCATGGGTGACTGGAGGACCCTCTAAGCCATGCTGCTGTTGGTGGCATTGATGGTGATTTTATCCACTTGGGAGTTTTCCTTCTCTGACAACAAATGGGCCATTTGAGGGTTTCACAAATTTCTTTCAGATGGGAAGACTGGGCCAGAGGCTTTAAGCCCAAAGCAGGACACTGCCTTATTCCAGCCAGCACAGATGGAAAGACCCTCAATGGACACGACGTTGAGAGAAGCCTGGAGCTGCACGGGCGGGTTTGAGAGCAAACCAGGGAGCCAGGACAGACAGATGGTAGGAGAGAACCTCTCCAAGAACATGCCCCTGAAGGACAGAGATGGTGTGAGCACCATACTCCCTGCAAGGGAAGGCCTTCCTAAGTGGGATGCCCCTGGAAAAAGCCTCCCCCGGAACAAAGTGAGGAAAGCCTTCACTTACCGCTCAGGCCTTATTGGCTGTCAGAGCAGGACAATCTCAGAACAGAAATCTTATCTATGGAATAATGAATTTGGGAAACCGTTGGGGGACCGCACAAGCCATATTCCACATGAGAGAACTCATGCTGAAGAGAAAATCTATCCATGCAGTGTATGTGGGAAAGTTTTCCAGCAAAACTCACACTTGGTTCAACACCAGAGAGTTCACATTAGAGAAAACCCAAGGGAAAACAGAAAATCTCTAAGTCACCACTTGGCCTATGTTCAGTACCATGTGAGTCCTTCTGAGGAGAAACCCTACGAATGCAGTGAGTGTGGAAAGACTTTCAGCCGGAGCATATACCTTACTGAACACCAGAGAATCCACACTGGAGAGAAACCCTACCAATGCAATCAGTGTGGCAAAGCCTTCAGCCAGAGCGCACCCCTTGCCAAGCACCAGAGAATCCACACTGGAGAGAAGCCCTATGAGTGTGAAGAATGTAGGAGAGGGTTCAGTTGCCGTTCTACCCTTGTTCAACACCAGAGAATTCACACTGGGGAGAAACCTTATGTATGCAATGAATGTGGAAAAGCTTTCAGCCAAAGGACACACCTTATTCAACACAGAAGAATCCACACAGGAGAGAAGCCCTATGAGTGTGTTGAATGTGGAAAAACATTCACTGAAAGCTCAGCCCTTATTCAACACCAGAGAATTCATACTGGGGAGAAACCCTATGAGTGCAGGGAATGTGGGAAGGCATTTAGAAGGAGAACTCACTTCACTCAACACCAGAGAATTCACACTGGAGAGAAAATCTATGAGTGTAATGAATGTGGAAAAGCCTTCAACCAGATTGCACAGCTCACTCGACACCAGAGAATCCACACTGGAGAGAAACCTTATGAATGCAGTGATTGTGGGAAAGCCTTTAGCCAGAGTTCTTCCCTTACCAAACACCAGAGAATTCATACGGGAGAGAAACCCTATGAATGTCATGCATGTGGGAAAGCCTTCAGTGACTCCTCAGTCCTGATTGTGCATCAGAGAATCCATACTGGAGAGAAACCCTATAAATGTCATGAATGTGGGAAGGCCTTCACTCAGAGCATATACCTGAACAAACACCAGATAATTCACTCTGGAGAGAAGCCCTATGCATGCAGTGATTGTGGGAAAACTTTCAGCCAGAGCAAATACCTTTCTCAACATCAGAGAATTCACACTGGAGAAAAACCGTACGAATGTAACGAGTGTGGGAAAGCTTTTAGTTACTGCTCGGCTCTCAGTCGACATCAAAGAATTCACGCTGGAAGTAAACCCTATTGGTGTGATGAGTGTGGGAAAGGCTTCCAGGGCTCGTCAGCACTCCTCAGGCATCGGGGCCTTCACGCTGCTGCCCAAGTCTGAACTGGTGGAGGAGGCGGGAAGCGGGTCACAGTGACTGTTAGATGCTCATGATGACACAAGCGGGCAAGAGGGGGAGCTGCGGGCTGTGCATCTCTTGGCCCTGTACAGTTCCTAGGATTGCAGGCACAGAGAATTTCTGAATGCTTGCTGAGGCAACGATCCAGGAAAGTGCAGAACGGACAGCACCTCCGTCGCTGCCCTCAGCCTGTCCTGACCCGTTCTGTCCTGGAGGCCAGTATTCCTAGGAATGCCTTCACCATCCACCCTGTAGGGCACTGCCAGTGGCCTTCTCTGAGCGTTTGGGGGAGAGATGCCTGCCACAGGCAGAGCCATGACTCAGTTGGCCCCAGGTCGGAGCCCTCTCACCTTTTTATAAAAATACCTGACCTGGGAAGGGAGGCACAGAGAAGGGGAGGCTGTGGGGGCTCCTCCCTGGGTTAGCTTTTCTGCTGTGATTAGATGGGTGGCCGTGCTCTTACCCCAGGATGTGTGCTGCAGTCCCTGCTCTTCCAGGAACTCCTTGTGTGTGACTCTAGGCCTCTGCAATGTAGGAAGGGAGGCTCGAGCTGCAGAAATGGCTTCTGTGCTCCCTGCCAGCCCTCCCTCTGGGATCTGAGTTCTGATGCTTGGGCTGCTGCCTTCTCTTCCTCCTCAGTCCCCTCAGCTGCATTGAAGGTTCACATAGGTGGCCTTTCATCAGACAGCGCAGGGCACAGGGAGTGCTTCTGGGATGAGGCCTGGGACATGACGGGAAGCTCCCTGGACAATGCCACTGCATTTTCATCCTTCGGTGTTCTGACGCACGTGGGAGCTCCTCCGAGGGGGCCTCTGTCCAGGGAAGCAGCTGTAACACAGGCATGCATGACTGCCTCTCCTGTGCAGCTCTCCACTGGGGTTGGTCCACTCATTGTGGACCCCAGATTAGTTTTCTCTCGTTGTAGGAACGGCTCTGGGAGCATTCTGACCTCCTGTCTCTGAGCAAGGCCAGCACCACCTTCCCCTCGGGGCACGAGGAGCAGCCTTGAGGGGCTGAGGGCATCATTGCCTCAAGCCCTCATTCTGGCCATGGTTAGCCACCAGCGACTGGTACCCAAGTTCCATTTAGCCAGTAAATATCCATTAGCTTTTACAAAGGGCTGTTTACTCCAAAGATAGAGCAAGTGCAGGGGTCCAAGCACCCCTCCTCAGCACCTCAGGCTTTGGGGAGGGGGTTCAGACGTGAGGCACTTTCTGCATAGCCCATGTCCTAGCAAGTCCCTGTCCAGATGTGGCATCTCCGCTGAGTGAGTCCTGGGTTCAGCTGCCATCCATCCCTGAGGCTGTTCCTTTCCTCCATCTTTGGGTATCAGGGCTGAGTTGGCTGCAGATCCTGTCTTGTTCCCACCCCTGCCAAGGCCAGCGGTCAAGGCCTGTATTCACAGGGCCACAGTCGGCCTCGGCCAGGGAGGGCCCACGACTTCCCCCCTCCCTACAACGTTGCCTCTCGTCTTTTACCAGAATGCCGATAGGCAGGAAGAATTTAGCCCAGAGAAGGGATCCCAGGAAAGGACTGACTGACTGAGGCCCAGCCAGAGTCTCATTCCGCAGCCGGTCAAGGAGCCTCCTCCTCGTCCCCCCCACCCCCCGCCGACCTAAACCGTTTACAGAAGGATGCCCACTGCACACATCCTCACAGCTGTCCCTGAAACCTCCCAGAGGCTCCCTAGCCAGTCCCTTGCTCTGAAAGGAGAAAGGCCTCCTCCCTGCTGGGCTTCCTGATGGTCACAGCACTTTTGGAAAGGAAATAGGTGAGTTGGGCCCTTGCACAAAGGCGTCTCTGCTTCTGGGTGGCACCCTCCCCAACCAAAGGATAGCCCAGCATGGGAACCAGGGCCAAGCAGGAGATGGGGGTGAGAGGAGTCCAGCTTCTTGCACTACCACCATGGTCTTGCAGCTGTGAGGAGGTGAGTGGTTTGAGGATTATTGTCCCTATTTTGTAGGCTCGGAGACATTCTGCATCACTAGGAAGCGGCTTAACTTCACCAGAGCCTCTGTTCTTCTTGGGGCTGCCCCTGTGGTCCATGCAGGGGAATGTACACATTTCAGGGGCGTAAGGGGCCTCTGAAGCAGTCTATTCCAGCCTAAACCCGAGAAAGGATTCCCTGGCCAGCTCACTTGCCAGATGGTCACTTGTCTGGCCTTTGGCCAAAGAGCTCCAGGCACCCCTCAAGAAGGCCCCCAGAGAGCCAGCTCTCAATGCTGCCCTTTGGGGCCAAGCAGAGCAAGTGGGCCCCGTGTTCCTCATGACGGCCTCTGGATTCCTGGAGAGAGTTGCCACAGCTCCACCTCTCTTCCCCGCCTCATCCCAGGGCTTTCATTCTCCAGACCCAATACTCCCAGTTCCTTCCAGCAGCCCTCATGAATGGGGCCAAAGACCCTTACCCACACTGGCTGCCTACCTCTGCACATTCTCAGACTTCTCAATCTCTTTCCTACACTGGGTCCTCCAGATGGGTCTGATGAGGATAAAGCACAGTGGGGCAGGTGGGTCCAAGGGCTGACTCACCTAGAACTTGCAGCCCACTAAAGCCCCCAGGCCTTTTAAGAAAGAACTAGTCTGTCCACATTCCCCCCAATCTGAGAAGCTGATGTTTAAATCCTTAGGTAAGACAACATTTATTCCCATGCCACTTTTACATGAGCGCGTGGAATTCCAGGGGGTCAGTGCCACAAGCTAGCCTGTTGGTCTGGGTGCTTCGCAGGTCCAGGGGAACTCAGCCAGCTTTGGCTGCTGAGGGCACCGCTAGTCCGCCAGTCATTCTGGGGGACATCCCCCCTCAGGGTCACCCCACAGATCCAGTTTCTTGTCAGGAGTACGCCCCTCTCTAGGACTCTGGTGCTGGCCCTCCTCACCTTTCCCTGGGGCTATTCCAACAGCCTTACCTGCTTTCTCAAGTGATCTAATAGCCTATTTCTTCCTGCCTAGTGGGTACCTATGGCCCCCTGTTCCCTCCAAGATCAAACAGACACTCCTGTGGCATTCAGAGCCATCCCTAGCTGGGCCCTTCTGACCTTCTCTCCTCATCCTCTACAATCCAGCCATGTCAGCTGGACAACATACTTTCCAGAATGCCTTCTGTTCTAACTTTGAGACACCAGGCTTTTGGCCAGTAGTCTTTCCCATTCAAATGTAAACTCTTGGAGGGCCCAGATTGTCTTTTGCCTTTCCATCCCTAGGCCTAGGGCAAATGAATGCTTGGGGCAGTAAGCACTCAATGGCCTCCTAGGTTGGGCAGTGAATCCAGCCTAGGCCTGGAGTCAGGAAGATTCAGATCCGGCCTCACACTAGCAGTGTGACCCTGGGCAAGTCACCTAACCCTGTTTGCCTCAGTTTCCTCATCTGTAAAATGACCTGAAGAAGGAATGTCAAACCACTCCATTATTTCTGCCAAGAAAACCCCAAATCACGTGGACTCAGCTGAAAGACAAAAGCACTTCATTGACTGAGACGCTTACTGCCTGTGTCATTTTGAGCGAGTCCTAATTAACCGTTGTCAACCATTTACCAGAGATTTGGTCCAAAGAAACAAACGGAATGGGGTTTCCCCTTTACCAAAGGTTTGAACAAGGAACAAACAGAATCAGGCTGTACGTGTGCTATAAGGTGCTTATTTGTTCTCATTAAGGCAGAGAGTCATGCAGGCACAGGAGTCAGAAGATAATTCTGAACTCAGAGTAACCAAGCTGAACACCCTTTACACACTTAGAGCAGTCCCAACTCAGGATGCCTGTGTCAACTGAAATGATAGTCTCCATATGTGTTTAACTATAATGTGAGAAAGGAATTTCTTAATAGGATAGGTTGTAAATATGACAGAATGTCAAGGTGTCATTGAAATTATAGATCCAAGATATCTGTGTTTCTTCCATCATTAACATAACATAACCTAACCTAAGAAAAGTCCCATTATTTAAGATGGTGTCTAGTTCAAGGCGCCTTGTCCTTGGCATTCATAAACAGAAGAAGGCTCATGGTCAGCTTCATCCGGCTTTGTAGTTGCTGACACAGCAGGGGGCATTTGGATTCACTGAGAGAGCAAAGCAAAGCATATCTGTTACTCCAGAGCACGCAGGGCATTATGGTAGATTAAGCTCAAAGAGGGCCAAAAATGTCTCTCCTGATTGGCCAATCGAGGTCTTAGGCCTTTCTCGGGTCTTGAGGGTCCAACATGCTTGGGGGAGGGGTTCACACCGTCAAAGCCTCAGTTTCCACCAGGTGCTCTCCGAGGTTCCTCCTAGCCCTGAGTCTGTGATCCTGTGAATGTCTGAGGGTCCCAAGCTTTCCTAGGTGTGATGCTGGATGTATTCCTTAACCCTCAGTTTTCCTCATGGGAAACATGGGAAAAATCCAACATTTCTGATCTTTCCTAATGGACACTCTAAACAGCAGGGAATGGGTGCCCCCGGGAGGTGGTGGTTATACTTTGGTGGGGCTGGTCCCTAGAATGGGGAGGCCTCACTGGCCACAGATAATGACAAGACCTGAAGAGGGTCTAAAGTTTAGAGCAGCATTGTGAAGATAACAATGGTCTTTGTGCCAATTCTCTGCCTTTCTTGTTCTTGGCCCTCTGGGTTTGTTTCCTCCTCTGTCAAATCGAAAGAACAGTTGTGAGGATCAAGTTAGACATGGGAGCTGTACAGAACCCAAGGTGCTAGAGAAGTGAAGGCAGAGGAGCTGGGGGATGGGGGTGAGACCTGAGTTCAAATCCTGCCTCAGATACATGGCAGGCTGCCTCAGTTTCCCCAGCTGTAAAACTGTACCTAATTTTCTCAGTGTTGTGAGGATCAAATGAGATATTTATAAAAAGTACTTTGTACAGTGACCAGCACATAGAAAGTGCTTAAATATTGAATTTCTTGGAAACGTTCCAATCCCATCTCAGACTCTGTGACTCCAGGAAAATCCTGCTTCCCGTCTTGCAGCAACTGGGCAGCGTCTGCCATCTCTTACCTCTTACCTGGGCGCCATCCTTGGAATGCCTTCCAGAACGCCACGTTTCCTCCTTCCCCAGCCTGCCAGCTGCTGGTGTCCTCCCAGGAACCGTCTGTATGTTTTGTATGTGATGTGCTCTGTAGTATTCTCCCTGAGAGAATGTAAGCTCCTGGTGGGCAGAGGCTGTACTGCTAGTCTTTGTACCCCCAGCCCCAAGTGCTTATCAAGCTTCTCCTAGGTACCAGGCACTGGGTTGATCACTACAGACACAAAGAAAGGCCAGCACAGCCCCTGCCCACGAGGAGCTCACAGTCTAACAGGAAAGAAACCATGGAAATGATTAGGTACAGTCAGTCAGTCTCAGTCTCTCTCTGTTTCTCTCTCTCTCATATTCTGATTTTATAGAAATACTGCCCTGCATGTGCAGGTACACACACACAGTAGAGGGGAGATAATCTGGGAGGGGAAACAGCAGCCAAGGGGACTGAGCTTGTAGAAGGCAGGATTGAAGTCTGAAGGAAGCTCAGAGGCTGAGGAGGGAAAGTGATCGGCTGGAATGACTAAGGAAGAACAGTTCTGCACTTGAATACTTATACGGACCCCCAACCTTGGCCAGAAGTCAAGAAGAAGAAAGAGAATGGGGTGCCTGAACTCCCTGGTCTGGGGGAAAATCAGGCCATGCTCATCCTCCTGGACCCCGAGCCCCAGGCCCTTTGCCCACGGCCCAGTCGTCCAACTCGCCTTCCTCTTACTGATGAAAGGGTGTGCCAACTGTCTCCCCTAAGAGGAGAGGCTTTCGGTTTCTTCGACTCCCTAGACCAAAAGTCCCCACTAGGGGGCTAGCCGCCCCTAGTAGAGTGTACCTCTGATGTCTCAGCGTTTAGGACAGAGCCTGGCACATAGACCACTCCCTCCCCCCTTCCTTTCTTCCCTCCCCCCTTCCTTTCTTCCCTCCCTCTCTCCTTCCTTCCTTCCCTCCTTTCTTCCCTGCTTCTTTCCTTTCTTCCCTTCCTTCTCTCCCCTCCTTCCTTTCTCTCTTTACATCTTTCCTTCCCTCCGTCCTTCTTTCCTTTCTTCTCTCTCTCCCTTCCTCCTTCCTTCTTTCCTTCTTTTCCTCAGCTCTTCCCAATCAGTGGCCCTGCTGTCAACTCCTTCTAAATTGCTGTGGACTCTCTTTCCTAAGAGGTGCCTACTTGCTGGCCACTTAATAATTTTTAAATGATTCCTTGTGGTGTCTGCCACAAACAGAATACAAACCCAAGCTATGCCGGAATCTTAGCAGTAAATGCACATTTACACAGAACACGACATTTCTTTTAAACAAAGATCTGGTGGTATGCTTTCTCCTCTTGCCTCGTTGGCCCTGGAGATTTCACTTTATCACTGTTGCGGTCTCTCCCTGGTGTGAAGTCTCTGGTGTTGGATGAGGGCTGGACGATGCCCTAAAGGTTCTTGGGACACTCACTGCATTTCCAGGGCTTCTCTCCAGTGTGAATTCTCTGCTGATTAAGGGCTGACTGGAGACTAAATGCATTCCCACAGCTCCCACACTCATAGGGTCTTTCTCCATTATGGATTCTCTGACGCCAGCCTAAGTACACATTTAATGAAAGATTTGCCACAGTGATCACATTCAAAGGGTTTCTCTCCAGCGTGAATTCTGTGGTGCTGCGTGGGATAGGAGCACTGAGGAAGGCCTTCCCACATTCATGACATTCAAAGGGGCTCTCCCCCTGTGAATCGTCTGGTGCCCATCGGACCTTTCTCTGGTGTGAACCATCTTGTGCAGGATAAGGGATGGCTCTGTGTGAAGGCCTTCCCACAATCGCTGCATCCATGGGGCTTCTCACCCCACGCATCCTCCCGCGTGCGAGGAGGGCTGAGAGGGCTGAAAGCCGTGGCCACGTGGCAAGGCCTCTCTCCAGCGAGTGTCCATGATGGACGCCCCGGGCCCTAGGGTGGCCGAAGGCCTTCCCACGCTCGGGACACTCAAGGGCGCAGGCCTCGGCCATTGCCGCCCTCTCTACGGGAGGCTTTCCCTGGGTCTCCCTGCGCTGCCTCCCGAGGAGGGGCTCTCCACCGCCGTTACTTCCTCTGGGGGTGAGGAGAGCCCCGGGCCCGGCACCGGGTGCATGCATCCGGCACTGGTTAAGCGCCTGCTGTGTACCGGCAGCACACAAAGCATCCAGGCCCTCCCCCGGGGGAGCTGGCAGCCTGGCTCTGGGGGTGGGCCCTTGGCAGTGTCTGGCACGCAGCAGGCGCCCCGCCCCCACGGCCCGGGTGGGCCTCCGAGGCTCAGGGCTCAAGGTAGAAGGGGCGTTGGACAGCCTGGACCTGGCGCGGCCAGGAGCAGCAGGCGCGGGTCAGCCGGCGGTTGCCATAGAGACGGGATGCGGCGCGGGATGCACTGCGGCTCCTGATTGGTCGAGCCCGGCCTTTCTTCTGTACATGCGCAATAGCTCCAAGCAACGCTGAGTGACGACGAGAGCTTGTTGGAGTCGGGAGGGGCGAGGAGGACGAGTGGTTCTGCCCGAGAGTGGATCACGTCCTGACGCGTTGCCTTCTGGGAGTGTCCGCATCTGCGCATGCGTCGATGCGCCGGTCTGGCTGGAGGGGGGAGGGGTGGGGAGTTTGCGCTTCACGGTAACTATGGTGACTACAGCGCCTTCGGGCGTGCGTGACGTGACGTCGCACGTCGCGTGAGGGGTGGAGTCTGTATCTCTTGAGCATGCTTTGCGGCTGCGTGATCCCGGGAGGCTTTCAGCCCAAGGTACCTTGCTCACGAACAGGGTCGGGGTCGGGGTCAGGGTCACGGTCAAGGGCACGCCAACCCCCCCCACCCCCCCCCCCGGCGCCGGTGCGTCTCCTGCTGCCCCGGAGGCCTAGCGGCGGGAGGTTAGCGGGGCTGAGGCGGAAGGCCTCCCGGGGAGCTACCTCCCTACCCGGACGCGGGACCTCGGTCCTTACATCTTCCCGCGGGGGAGGGCCTCCCCCCCCCCCCCCCCCCCCCCCGGCCGCGCCCCGGCCCCCCCCCCCCGCCCCGGGGCCCCGTGGCTCTGGGCGGGGGTCGAGCTGCGGGGCGTGAGGAAGCCCTGACCTGGGCCTGGGGGGCCCCCGAGTGTGGAGGTGGGTGTCATTTGTGGAAGGGGCCTCTGAGGGCAGGGGGCTCCACCCCGCCTTTGCCTGCCCCCCCCCCCGTCTGCCTCTGGGGGAGGGGCATCACCGGCGTCCCGGGGTCTGCAGGGGGGCAGAAGGGGGCCTCAGCGGGGGGCCTGCGGCCGTCAGGGCGGAACCCTGGCATGGGGGCGGGGTGGGGGGCAGCGCCCCGCTTTCTTGACTGCTCGCCCCCAGACCCGAGACTGGCCCTTCTCGCGATGGTCAGCTCCGGCCGGAGCTTCGCTTGGAGGCCGCTGGGGCAGGGCCCCCCCGTCCTCGGACTCTGGCCAGACCGGGACCGGGAGAGAAGGTCCTGGGCTCCCAGGGTCCGGAGCCGGGGTGGGGTGGGGCCTGGGAGGGAGGCGGCTCCATGGCGCTTGGCCGGACCCCGACAGAGGAGGACCCCCCCCCAGCCCTCCGGCGCCCTCCCCTCGCCGCAGGGATCTCGAATCCGGAGAGTGTAGAGCCCCGGGGAGGGAGGAGGCAGGAAGGCCGGGGTCTGCACCGCTGCCCTCCCCCCCCACAAAGTCTTGTACCCCCCAGCCTGGGCCCCAGGCAGCGGCGGGGAGGGCTCGGGGCTCGGATTCCATTCCAGCACATCGGGTGGACCCAAGTGTACCCGTCTAGTAAAAGAGAAAATTGGACGATCTCCCTCTCATCTCTTCCCTTTGACTTAAGGACAGGCCTCGAACGTCTCCCCAGCTTTTTGGTGCCGGAGCCCCTTTCCGCTCTCAAAAGTTGTTGAGGACTCCCCACAGCCAGCTTTGGCCTATGTGGGCTCTATCGGTATTTCTGAATGAGAAGAGGGCTTGCGGTGGTTTTGAAAATCTTTGGACCCCACGGTCCCCAGAAGGGGGTTCATGGCCAAAGCCTAGGACTGGTGACATTCATTAGCTTTGTGGCTGTGGCTGAGTCTGTCCTCCAGGCCTCTGCCACCGGACAGAGACGTGAGCAGGAAGCCAGTCTTCCCTTTGTGTTTTTAGGTAGCTGACCCTTGGCCGCGCTCCGGCCCAGAGACGTCCCCTGTCTTCTCTTCTGGACCCCCTAGGGCCGTGTCTCCATGGAGGTGACCGCACTCTGGTGGGGACACAGCCTTGAGTCTGCACCCCTTTTGAGTGGGAGAAGGTCCAGGGCCTCAGGACGGGGCCGCCTGAGGAGCAGAGGTTCCGAGGTTCGGCCGTTCCCCAGCCTGGACGCTAGAGAGGTGAGTGCCCCGCAGACTCGTGGAGGGCCCATGGCGTCTTGGGGATGTTGGCAGATGAGGTGGGGTCTGTTTACCAGGAAGAGGTGGCTCGCTGGGGGCTTTGGATCCTGGAAGGGCCCGGACCCCATTTGTTCTTCGAGGCCTTACGGGACTGGGTTCAAGGAAATACTTGTGAAAATCAGAGTGGTCCCACAGTCCGCTCCCTGCTGCAGGGGCCCTTCCCGTTCCGAGAGCCGGGGATGCTCTCTGAATCCTGTCACTGCCCCTGGGGTGGCCTGGGTCCTTGGAAGAGGTCCCTCCTGGAGTCTGCAAGCATTGATAAAGTGCCTACTGTGTGCCAGGCCCTGTGCTGAGTGCCGGGAATACAGAGGAAGGCCAAAGACAGCCCCTGCCCTCACGGAGCTTACGTTCTAGTGGAGGCAGCACAGAGAATGGGGATAAGACTGTGCAGAGCCCTGGTGCTCTCCTGTCAGAGGGGCGGAGGGCTGGGCAGGGTAAGGAGGAGTGCCCTGGGGAAGGAAGGCGCGGTCGAAGAGGACCCATGCAGGATCAACTGCTTGAAGGGTGGTCTCAGAGGGAGGCCTGGGGAAAACATCGAGGAGGTGGTGGGGGAGGGGGGGTTTGGCTGAGGCTAGAGGGAAGAACAGAGGGGGACATGACTTGGGGGGCATCTGGAAAGAATGCCCGAAGCGTGGGGCAATGGCTGCAGACCTGCTGGGTGCTGCTTCTGTCTTCCAGGGTAGCGTTTGCCTGTACCTCCCCTTGGGGACCCTGAGCTGACTCACGGCTGGCTGGCCTGAAGGTGGCTTTGACCCAGAGCTGTGCGTACTATGTCTTCCACACTGTTCCCCACTGGCCTGGTGCCCTTTGAAGACCTCTTCTCCAAACCCCCAAATCCCATGCTTGGCCCCAGCCTGACTCAAGGTCCGCTTGTCTCAGGCCAAGAGGGCTGCAGGAAGCTGACCTGCCCGCAGTTGGGCCCTGGGTTGGCCCTGAACGCTCCACCCACTGGGCCTTCACCTAGCCCCACCGGCTCTGGGGATCTGGCCCGTGAGCCTTCGAGTCCCTGCCAGGCCTCAGACCCTCCTCTTTTGGAGCTCAGCCCTGGCAGCAGCAGCTTGGAAGACGTCATCTGCAAACCTCCCAGCCCCGATGGCCCTGGGGCCACAGAGACGCTGTCCCCCTGCTCTTCTCCCCGCTGGGATTTTGGGGACCTGTTTTGCAAACCCCCAAACCCCATGCTTTCCTCCAGCATGGCACTCTCAGGCTTAGGAACCGTGGCCTGTGAACCTCCAGCCTTGCCGTCCCCCAGGCCTGATTCTGGCCCCAGGCCCAGGGCAGCAAGCCCAGGCGGTGCCGCCTGCAGTCCTGCACAAGGGAAAGCCAGGCCCAAGAAATGTAGTGGCCAAGGTGGCAGCCTTCGGCCGGACAGCAAGAGGAGAGGCAAGAAGGCCAGGGCTTCTGTCGCCAAGGGGAGGCAGCCCCAGGAGGAGGACTTTGCCCAGCTCCTTGAGCAGTACCGACGGGAGAGGGAGGCCCCTGAGGTGGCCCCGGTGCCCCCGCCTGTGGAGGGTGGGGCGAAGAGGGGAGCCAAGCGGAGCGCCGGGGCTGGGAGTGCCAGCCGTGCCAAGAAGAGGAAGCGGGCAGGGCCAGCGAAGGGACCGGCGAAGGCCCCGGCCCCCCGGCGCCCGGCAGGCCCTCCCGCTGCCCCAGAACGTGCCCCTGTGAGCGAGGAGTTTGTCCAGAAGAACACAGTGGCCCTGGGCTCACAGAGGGTATGCAAGTACTTCCTGGCCGGACGGTGTGTCCGCGGAGAGCAGTGCCGGCTGGACCACGGGGCCGACGGCCTCAAGTTCCAGCAGCTCTGCAAGTTCTACGTGCAGGGCTACTGCACGCGGGGTGACCACTGCCGCTTCTTGCACAACGAGTTCCCGTGTAAGTTCTTCCACACGGGCGCCAAGTGCTACCAGGGCGACCACTGCGGCTTCTCCCATGCACCCCTGACTCCTGAGACGGAAGGCCTGCTGAGGGCTGCCCTGGCGGGCCCAGCCCCCGTGGAGGCTGCTCCTCCTACGGCTCCCTCCTGACGGCTGAGGGCAGACTGAGGGTCTCGCTCCCAACTCTTCTGTGTTTGGTAGAGATGGGAATTATTTTGCTCTGGTTAGCGCTGTGATTGTGAGGAGTCCTATTAAAAACCCCAGGAAGTTAGGGGCACTTGTGTTTATTCCCAACCCCCTGAGGAGTCTGGGACTTAATAACAAAGGACAGCTTTGTACCCAGTAAGGACTCCCTTGTTTGCTCATAGGACTGATCTCTGAAGGTGCCCTCCAGCCCATCTGAGTGTTGTCTCTCCCTCTGCAGATCACCACTGGCTACACCGGACCTTTCCTTTTGGGGGCCTACACATGGGGCTTCTATCTTGGGCAGATCAGCAGCGTTCTGCCGGGATGCTAAGAAGGGAGGAGGCCTCCAGGGCTGAGGTCGTAGGACTTGTCGATGTCACTGTGCTGGGTCCCTCACTTTTATTTTTTATTTTTTATTTTCTTAAACATATTTCCACATTAGTCATGTTGTGAAAGAAAAATCAAAACAAAAGGGAAAAACCATGAGAGAAAAAAAGAAAGTATCATATGCTTCGATCTGCATTCAGACTCCATAGTCCTTTCTCCGGATGTGAACAGCATCTTCTTATGGTATCTTTTTTTGGAGGCAATCAGGGTTAAGTGACTTGTCTAGGGCCTTACAGCTAGTAAGCATCTGAGGCTGGATTTGAATTCAGGTCCTACTGACTCTAGGGCCTGTTCTCTATCCACTGTGCCACCTAGCTGACCCAAAATATTGAGACTTTTATTTTGGTGAGGCAGTTGGGGTTAAGTGACTTGCCCAGGGATGCACAGCTAATAAGCATCAAGTGATTAAGTGTCTGAGGCCAGATTTGAATTCATGTCCTCCTGACTCCAGAGCCAGTGCTCTATCCACTACGCCACCTAGCTGCCCCGCCCCCCCACCCCCCAGCATCTTCCGTCCTGAGTCTTTTGGAATTGTCTTGGATCATTGCATTGCTGAGAAGACCTAAGTCTGTCAAAGTTAATCATTGCACAGTGTTACTGTTAATGTCCTGGTTCTGCTCACTTCACTCAGCATCAGTGCATACAAGTCTTTCTAGGTTTTTCTGAAGTTCACCTGCTCATCATTTCTTATAGCACAGTAGTATTCCATCACACTCATATACCACAACTTGTTCAGCCATTCCTCAGTTGATGGGCATCCTCTCAATTTCCAATTCTTGGCCACCACAAAAAGAGCTGCTGTAAATCATTTTATATGTGTGGGTCCTGTTCCCTTTTTTGTGATCTCTTTGGGTTATTGCTGGGTCAAAGGGTATGCACATTTTTGTAGCCCTTTGGGCATAGTTCCAAATTGCTCTCCGGAATGGTTTGATCACTTCACAACTCCACCACCAATGCCTCAGTGTTCCAATTTTCCCATATACCCTCCAGCATTTATCATTTTCCTATTTTGTCATATTAGCCAATCTGATAGACGTGAGGTGGTACCTCGGAGTCGTTTTAACTTTCATTCCTCTGATCAGCAGTGATTTAGAACATTTTTCGCGTGACTGTAGATTGCTTTAATTTCTTTCTCTGAAAACTGCCTGTTCATACCCTTTGGCCATTTGTCAGTAGGGTCCCTCACTTTTAAAGAGAGGCAGCCTGAGGAGGGTCTCTGACACAAAGCAGCCATGTTGCTTTGGACACGTCTCTTGGCCTTGCAGAGGCTCTGTTTCCCCCTCTGTCAAGTGGGGGCAATAATGTCTCCTTCCCAAGAAGCAGATGTGAGGCTAAACGAGGGAAGATGCCTTTGATGGGCTCAGGCAGCGGTAAGCAGTAGGTGGATATCTGCCATCCTCCTTAGGGTGCACCTCCATTTCGGGGGCAGGGCAGCTGCTGCAGAGTCCACCTTTGTATCCCCAGGGTCCAGGTGAGTGGGGTGGCTGGATCAGCAGCAGCTGGGCCCTGCCCTCTTGGGTCCTGTGCCCCTGGGAGAGGGAGGCCACAGTGGTGCAGCTCAGGGTGGAGAGAAGTGATGGTGGGATAAAGAAAGCAATCAGGAGAAAGGGACAGACGGGTGTTTGAACAGGAAACCTCCCTGTCCTGGGGCCTGCTGGGAAAGCAGCCGCTGCCACCCCTCAGGCTTGCCCTGCACGCAGTTAGAACTGCCTTCCTGGTTTGGACAAGCTGGGCTGGTCTCATTCAGAGCAGCAGTCGCTGGGGCTGGGGGCAGACAATCAGCCACGGCTACAGAGTAGCTCTCAGAACCTTCCCTTCCTCCAACTCGGTCAAGTGGGTCGAAAGCCCCTCTTATGCCTCTGACTCTTACGTGCCCTGGGACAGCAGGAAAGTTGCCTAAGCTGAGCTCATTTGTTCACCTGTAGGTGGGATGGAAATGAAGTTCTGTCATGACCACTGAGGGCCCTGATGCCCCCATCAGAAATGATGGACAATGTCCAGAAGATGTTCCATTGACCTTCAGATAGGCGGCTTTGTGCTGGAGGAAGGGCATAGCTTCCTCTTTGCCTCTGGCCCTTCCTGTTTGGGTCCCTGGCCTCCTGGGCAGCAACAGATGAGATTCACAGAATCCCAGATATTGGAGCTATTGGTCCCACAGATGTGACCTAGCCCAGTGCCCTTTTTGTATAGATGGGGAGACTGGGACCCAGAGAAGGGCAGGTCTCACTGAGGGGCACACTGGGCCTCAGGAAGAGGAAAGCCCCCCACCACCCTGGTGTCAGAGCCAGGTCTGTGGAGACTTGGAGCCTAGAGCTGTTCCTCGGGTGTCCTCTCACCGTCTTGGTCTGGGCGCTGCGCCCAGAGGGCTGTTTGGGAGGAGAAGAGTGAGGAAGAGCTCGGTACTTGACAAACGTTAGCTCCATGGTCCTTATTACAGACTTGTGAGAGAGGCAGGTGGAGGTGAGGTGACCTGTCCTAGGTCACATGCCTGAAGCTAGATTTGAACTCAGGTCTTTGACTTCAGGTCCCAAACTGTGCACTGTGGTGCCTCCCAGCTGCCAAAGGGCTTCCCTGGCCCTGGGAGCCATTTCCAACCCATAGTCAAAGGTGATGATGGGTCCTTGCTGGCCTCTCACTCCAGGGCACTCACCAGTCCACACTGCACATCTGGCAATGCCATTGAGCTCACCCAGATGTCGACCATGAGAAATGGGGAGAATGCGCGGCAGCAGAGAAAGAAGACAGGCCAGGGGGCAGCTCCTGGTTCCATCTACCTAGGGCATTGTCCACCTGACCCCACACCATCCCCCATCCCAGCTTGGACAGCCCATCCTGGCTTCTTGGGGCCAGTGTCCGTTGTCAGATGGCTCCCCGCTCCTAGTCTCCTGGAAGGGAAATGGAGCTGAGGAATTACTAAATGATGAGGAAGGCTGGGGGTGGTCAGAGCTCGGACTGGTCAAGTGCTCCAGACCCGGGCTTCTGTCTTGGGACCTGTGGGGCCCAAGGCAAACGTGCCAGCTCAAGCAGGTGCAAGGCCTTGGCTCCACTACTGAAGACTTCAAAAGGTAGTTGGGGTGATGGGAAGCAGTTCTAGGAGAGATGACGGGTGCAAGTGAGGTCTAGGGAGGAGAAGAGCAGTGAGGAGGCATGTGAAGAGACACCAGCTCCAGGAATCCGCAGGGATTCCCGGGCAGGGCCAAGAGAACAAGTGGCCTAGAAAGAAGGCCCCGAATAAGAATCATCTCGAGCCCTGCGAGGCCTGCGAAGCCTAAGCCTGTGAGGCAGGTTGGGCACAGCTCACCGTCCCCACTGTCCCCACTGCCCACCTGCCCAGGGACTTGGCTGAGACCTGCCTACGAGGACCATGTCTGTCACTCATGGCTGCAAGTTTCTGTCTCTTCCAAGCTCAGTTTCCTGCTCTGTAACGTGGGGTGACATTGGTTACCAGTCGCCATCCTCGGAGAAGCAGGCTCTGTGAGGAGCCACACAACGAGGGGCTGAGCCAGGCCTCCCGGCCCCCCACAGAGGGGCTCCCCCTAGGCTGCACCACCTCCTTGCAGAGCCCAGGGCTTGGGTCCAAGTCCTCAGTGCGACTCATCGGTGGGCGTTACAGCTGAGGTCACTCCAGGCTAGAGGCACTGCGGAGACATCACAAAAAAATCCTTTGAGGGTGTCAAACCCAACCCCTCTCCTTGTGCACGTGGGCAGAGTGAGAAAGCCCAGAGGACAGGGGCAGCTCCAAGAATGGCAGATGCTTCTTGACTGTACATCCAGTAACCTTGTTTGGCCCCCACAGCTGGAGTTCCCTCAAAACCAGGATCTTGGGGATTGATGTGGGACAGAGCTTGACCTGCACTAGAACTGATCCTGGGTCACAGGAGCAGACAATTAAAGGACCTTCACCTTGTGTGTCAAGGACCACTTGGGCAGTCCCATGGCTCCCCTCCCCCACTCTCAGCTGAGACCCCCGCTTCCTCCTCACCATCACTGGGGTGCCTTCTTCCTCTCCTCCTTCCTCATCTGCCACGATGAGGTGGCCTGACTCCTGACCAGGAGTGACCCTTCTGCCTGCTCAGGTGATGTCCTTCCATCCTATCTCCAAGAGATCTCACCCTTCCTCACTTGTCTTCAGTCTCTGCCTCGCTCCTGGCTCCTCCGCTGCCTGCAAACATGCCAGTGTCTCCCTTCTCAAAAAGCCCTCAGATGATCCTTTCATCCCCACGAGCTATTATTCCCTATCTCTTCTCCGTTTAGTGGTTAAACTCCTTCAGAAAGTGATCAATAATCAGCATCTGCTTCCTTTGCTCCCACTCTCCTTAACTTCTCACTATCTGGCTTCTGATCTCATCATTCCACCCAAACTACCCTTTCCAAAGTCACCAATGATCTCCTGGTTACCAGATCCAGTGGCCTTTTCTCAGTGCTCATTCTCCTTGACCTGTCTGCAGCCTTGGACATTGCCAATCATCATCTTCTGGACATTCTCTAGGCTTTGGGGACACCCCTTTCTCCTGGTTCTCTTACCTCTCTGACCACTTTTCTGTCTCCTTGGCTGGATCTTCTTCCAGGCCATGCCCACTAACCATAGGTGTCTCTCAGAGTTCAGTCCTGAGTTCTCTTCTCCCTCTGTCAGACACTACTTCACTTGGTGATCTAATCTCCCATGGATTTAATTACCATTCCTATGCTGAGGATTCT